TGGTAAAGTGAGTGGAGTGGAAACTGAACTGTAGAATGGAGGTGTGGTATTGTTCTGAATTTTGCTTTTTGAGACTGAGTCTCACTATGTAGTGTTACCTTGCCTAACATTGTGTGATCCACGTTGGCCTCCAACTTCAGCTTGCTAGGAGTACAGGCATGTGCCACACCTGGTTTGAACATCCATCCGTCCCACATTTTCGTCTCTCCCCTCTGCCCACTTCTGTAGTTACCATGGGTTGAACTCAGGACCTTGAGCTTTTGAGGCAGCAGTTCCTGGTCCCTATTCTTTTTGTTGTTAGTGCTGTTGTTTTCCAGTACTGGGGATTGAACTCAGGACCTTGTGCTTTCAAGACAAAATCCCCAGCCCTTGAACATTATGTTTAAATGATTGGATTGCCTTATTTAAAATACAGTATTAAAGATTTTTAAGTTGACCTTTGTTCCCACCAGGAACAGATAAGGCTGTGTCATTAAATGCTTCATATCTAGGAAAGCAAAAATCTTATCAAGTCTTGTCAGTTTCTAATATTTGCCTTTTTCTTGAAGGACTCTACAATAAGGAAAGTTCAGGCTGGAGTTGCAGTAAAGACAAGGATGCATATAGCAGCTTTGGGTCTCGTGATTCAAGAGGAAAGTCCCGTTACTTCAGTGATCGTGGAAGTGGATCAAGGGGAAGGTAGAGTCATAGTTTATGTGTATATATATTGGTAATTTAGGAATCTTTTTGTATAGGATAAAATACAGAGGGGATGTGTGCTAGATAAATGTTCTACCATTGAGCTACAATAGTGCAGTTTAGGAATTTTAATTTGTTACACTTTTTTAATTAAAGTGTTGCTTTTCCTTAACAGGTGATACAGTAATAGATTTAAGCAAAATATAGGTATAATTTTTTTGTTAACTCTGAGAAGTCCTTCCTAAAATTAGGTAAATTATCTGCAGTATATTGACTTTTGAGCTACTCCTTGAAATTCTGACCCAATCCATCTGGGGAAGAGCCTGGAGATCAGCCTTTTTTTTGGTACTAGGGATTGAATTCAGGTCCTTTTTCTTGCAAGGCTGGTGGTGGAACCACTGAGCTAAATCCCTGGCTTTATGTGCAGTATTATTAAAGCAGACCTAATGAGAAAGTTTATATGCAATTATTTTTTGCTTGAGATGTTTATAATTTATAGAGTTTTTTAAACTATATTTTCTTACCTTGGTTATTTTCATTGAGAACAGGATCTTGCTATATTTCAGACTGGGCCAGGCTGGCCTCCAATTTGAGGCAACACTGGTGCAGCCTTTCAAGAGTGCAAATACAGGTGTAAACTGCTATACTTAATTTTTATTTTTAATTGCATAGTGTGGCAACTTGATTTTCATAGCTGAATAATTATATTTAATTTTGTGTTATTTTGGGGTTTGGTTTTGTTGGGTTTTTTTCCTCTTTTGCTTTGTTTGTATTTTAAGGATAGGGTCTCCAATTTATCACCTTCCTCCCTCAGCACTACTTCTTGAGTGTTGGAGTTATAGATATGCACCACCATACCAGACTAATATTCATTTTATCAAACATGATTATAAAGTAAATCTTAAGTCTTCCCATGAGGGAATTTTCCTTTATTTCTAAAGGACTTTTGTGTTATCTTACTTTTCTACTACTAGTTCTTTTAAATGAAGGTGTAAATTATATCTAATCGTGGTTGACTAGAGAGCATTATTACACAAACGGCATTTGAATTGTACTGAATTATTGACATACCTAAAAGTATGTGTGTTTAACAGTTCAACTAATAGCAGTTCCTTATGCTGTTCAGATTTGATGATCGTGACAGAACTGGCTTTTGCAAATATGAACGTAGTGGGTATAGTCGTTGGTGTGACAGAGCAGATGAAGATGATTGGTCAAAACCTCTTCCTCCAAGTGAACGCTTAGAACAGTAAGTTTAAAAATGTATGTTCACTTTTGTGAATCTTACTACTTAGTGTAACATGTAAATAATAATGATCTGATTTCAGAGAACTTTTTTCTGGAGGAAATACGGGGATTAACTTTGAGAAATACGACGATATACCAGTAGAGGCAACTGGCAATAACTGCCCTCCACATATTGAAAATGTAAGATTTTTTTGGTTTGACTTTTAAAAACGTTGTTTGTTTGCCTATTCGTTTTAAAGAAAAAAAAATGTCAGACATGAAAAACCAAATACTTTTTTGAAATGTAGATAGAGCCAGGAATTCTGTTCCTTAGAAAATACTGTAATACTCCAATTGTAGGTACTTATTTGGCTGCTTCATTATATTTATGAAACAAACTGTGGCAGATAGACTGCTTCTGTTTTTGTTTCTTCTTGATTGATCTGTGTTATATTTTTTGACAGTTTAGCGATCTTGAGATGGGAGAGATTATTATGGGAAACATTGAACTGACTCATTATACTCGTCCTACTCCAGTGCAAAAACATGCAATTCCTATTATCAAAGAAAAAAGAGATTTAATGGCTTGTGCTCAAACAGGTACATATACTTGGTAAAGAATAAAAGCATATCTACTGGGGTTGCTCTAAAGTATGTTCTGTGAGAAGGCCTGAATCCTCTATTTATCATGACTTTGAGGAATGGCTAGGGCTAAAGGTGTAGGGAAAGTGGGAAGGGTAGGGGAAAGGTAATAAGGGAAAGGAAAAAA